TCCGTATTTTAGTGTGCATGGGTCCATGTTTTAGTGTGCATGGATCCGTATTTTAGTGTGCACGGATCCGTATTTTAGTGCGCAAGGTTTTAAACACAAAGCAATTAATGCTGAAAATATTTAATCCCACAGATGGAGAAGTTAAAAACCAAACAGACCAAGGTATGCGTAGTTATGCACTACAGTATTAGATGTACATCAAGTTGCCACCAACAAGAGATATAGATATCAAACAAGATTCGCCGAAATGTTCCAGCTTTTTCATTGTTCACCATCCCATACCAAAGTTTCCAATTAAACTGTTTAGGACGCTCACTTTTGATAATCAGTCTTTATAGCCTGGTTTTACAGTGTAATGTGCCCTAACCATGTCAAACTAACTTATTTTTTTACTAGTTAGCCAATCGGACCGTGAGAATTTGTTCATTTACACTTGGACTCACTAAGGCTGCGTTTACACGGTACTGGACGGATTTTTGACCGTTTCGTCCCATTTAGGCTTTTCGTTCACACGGAACCGTGCTATCTGGACACAAATGTGAACGCCTAGCCGGATATGATAAGTATAAGTACGGATAAGAAATCGAACGGTATCGTGTAAACACCTCTTCCGGATAACTTTTCGTACGGAAAGTAAACTATTTCAAATTGGATGCAAAAGTATTCCCATCAACCATAGAATTTTGTTAACTTCCTGAAAAATTCTGAACTTTTTCTCTGCCATCCGTCTTGTCCAACACCAATCAACCTCTACAGAGTCAACAGTACAGACGAAGTAGTATTTTTATTCACATCCTAATCAAATACACAATATTTTTTTTCTTATAGTCTACTTTCACATCCCCATAATGTCTTGCGTCTTTGGGGGATAACCTATCAAAAAACTGTCCCAAATTGAACGTTTTCTTAATTGAAAGCATATTATATTGTTTTGACCAAAATGCCTCGACTTGAAACAATTGTATGAAGGCAATAATGAGTAACTCATATATCTGCTATCGCTTTGTTTGTCAGTTGAATCTGGCTGACAGCACATGATGATCAGTGTTTTACCACCATGTGGAGCAGATAATGAGTTTGAAAGACTAATCAGCTGATCAGGGGCAGATCCAGGATTTTGTTCAGGGAGGGGTGCTGCGCACAAAGTTAACCCAGGGAGGGGTGCAATCCTTAGAATCAAAGGGGAAAAACAGTTTTGGTTATCTTCGAAATAGGGGCACAAAGTGGAACCAGGGAGGGGTGCGTGACCCCTGCACCCCTCCCCTGGATCCGCCCCTGCTGATTGAAATTCAGCAATACCCCTAGCAATACAACTATGCTAACAGTCTTTGTTTAAACTGAAAAACTGAAATGCTATGCTTTGCCAAGGTAAAACCGAACTCATGTGAAACAGCCCACTTTACTCGACTACTATTATATAGCTAATAATATGAACAATAATCTATATTAATGTATGATTGATATAAAAACGATTTCAATGGCATAATTTAATACTAGGACATTTAGTAGATACTAAAGACTTTTTGAAACAAACCTAGCCAATACTAAGGTAATAGCTTGTAAATATTTTTWAAAATGGATTTCGTAAGAATAATATAATAATTAGCCATTATGTATAGATAATCAGATAGAGTACAAATACTAAATGTGTGCAGTAGTTATCACTATTTAGTAGTAAATAGCACTAATTAAACAAAAGAAAACAATAGAATTAGCATGAGATAACACTATTAATTAGTGATAATTATGTTGCACTCATTTAGCGTTTGTACCCTACTCTGGTAATTTAGTATTTTTAACTTCTAGATGTCTAACATTCTTGTAGACCCATACAATGCACATGTATAATAATATTAACAAATAATAGAGCAGATGGAATTAAACCGTGAAATAAAATCAAACTAAATACTAACTTATAGTATTTATTTAGTGACTAACAATTGCTATCACTCAACCAGAACATTCATTACACAAACACAAATCTTTTGTTTAATAAATGTTCTGGTTGAGTAATGGTGACTATTAGTCACTAAATAATAGGTACTATTAGTTAGTATTTAGTTTGATTTTATTTCACGTTTTAGAGTGAAGGCATTTAACCCGTGAAATAACAATTATTAGTCAACGTGTAATACTCAAATAGACACAAAAGAAAACAATGGAAATAGGGTCTACTAATGTGTGTCAGTCTAATATCTATTTCACGGGTTTAATGACTTCACTCTAATTGCATCCGCTCTATAAAGGATACTGTAGCTTGTAACCAAATTTAAAAAATGAAGGACATACAAAGTCTATACCAGAACTTGAAATATCCGCTGGACATCAGACAATGTCAGTCCACCCAGAATTGGAACTTGTCCGGTTGAATCTTCACCTTGCTGGTCATTTTGACCAGTAACGTTGAGTAAGAAAGGATGTATGACTGAGCTAACACTAATCTGGCCTTTGATCATGACCAGCGACTCATTGGCCATTATTTTAACCCCTGCAAACAGATAAAAAATAACTCTTAAACTGTCAAATGCCTTATTGATTGATTCATAGGTGTGAAAGGATCTTGACAAACTTGATAAAATCTTAATGCTTGTAGTTTGTAATTATAAGCAAGTGATATTATTAGTCTTTATTTAAAGGAGAGGACTTCATTGTACGACTATGCCATTTGCATATGGAATCATTTTATTACCATCACCATTTTTTTTGCAAATTCTTTTCTGGTAGTGCTAGCAGTTGCACTCTATTCCAGAATGATCTCAAGAATGTGGCTGTTTATTCTTATCCCATTAATCTAACCCCCTGGGCCCAGTTGTTCAAAGCCTGATTAGTGCCAATCCTGGGTTAACTCTTAATAAGGCCTATAGAGTTAATCCTGGATTAGCGCTAATCCAGCTTTGAACAACCTGGCCCTGTATCTGACCTTGAGTAGTAAATGGTACCATATTGCAAATGCCCTATTAACAGAACTTGATATATAAAGTGCTAATCAAAAAACCGTGGGCACCTAGAAATATTTCAAGAATGTTCAATAGCCAACCAGAAGCATTATTATCTCTTGTTATCTTGTAGTTAGAAAAACAATTCTCAATGGCCAAAGAAGAATAGGACATTCCTAGAATATTTCTAGGTGCCCACTGTTTTTCAATTGGCACTGTAATGCCTGTGTTTTTTGCTCTCTTTAATCATGCATAAGGAATGTTAGTAGCAATTTTACTAATGGCTTCATTTCTTTTTTTTAATTTAAATAATTCATTGAATATTTCATAAATGAGTATTATATAACAATAGCTACAATATATATGTCTGCTCTGATTGGTTATTTAGTGTCCGAAAGCGTGCATCTAAAAATGGATGGTGCACACTGATGTGATTGAGTAAGTGTGCACTATTTGAAATGATAGAGTGGAGTTCTATACAGGGTTCATGCTACATTCTCGTTACAAAATTCAAGGACTTTTTAAGCACAAAAATTTGATTTTCAAGGACAAAGTTTTTTGTATTAGAGCGTTGTTTTAAACATTGTTTCATTGTTAAAGTGCAGCTAATTCAGCCGGGGCCACTAAGATTAAAAACGAGCATGACACGCAACCAACCAGTAAACAAGCAAACAGAAACTCTTCAACCAATTTTAATCATTATTTATTTTAAAAGGAAAGTTAGAAATAACATTAAGTTTGCATTAAATTCAAGGAGTATTCCAGGAGTTTTGGCATTTTCCCCTATTTTCAAGAGCTTTTCAAGCGCCCTTAAAAATATGTTTTCAATTCAAGGACTTTTCAAGGATTTCAAGGAGTAGCATGAACCCTGTCTATAATAAGCAAACCTACTTGATGGACTTTTTTCTTACCTAGTACATAAATGCATTAATCAAACGTTAACAAGTGGAATCCTCTTTTGTAGACCTTCTCTCCTCTCTATATCTCTCAATATGTCCATATTAGGCTGCAACAGGAAAGCCAATCTCTGAAGAAAGAAAGAAAAAGATTATTGAAGAAGTAAACTTTCATGTATTAGAGTTCCTTTGGCCTCTACTTTGCAGACCTGACTTTTGAGACTCTGTAACCAGGGCATGATTGACCAGAAACTGAGAACATATGCATCAGTGTTTGTGTACAGTACAGTAGTTATTTGAAAATACCTCGTATAATGTTCCAGGGGTTTTCCATATTTGGTAGATGGCAAATCCAGGAATACAAAGCATAGAGGACAAGGCAATGATCCATCCAAAGAACTCTGCCCAGCCTGGGTACTTATATTTTCCATAGGTTATGCCACTCCACTGTGAAATGCTATAGAAGAATATCCCAACCATTACTGAGGGTGCACATATCTTCCATGTAAACCACCACCAGCGTCCAGGTTTAGATCCTATCATGGCTTCAATGTCTTTTGAGAACCGAGGAACACCATATATCCAGGCAAGGGAAAAGGCCTCAAAGAAACCAAGGAAGAGGAGAGATACCCCTCCTGACTGATAGTCAAACAGATTCAGCACATATGCTCCACCCTAACAATGAATAAGTAAGATTACAACTTACTATAAGTATTCAACGGACCACTTAAACAGTCACTATATGTAAAACCAATACTGAAAAGATCAAGTTAAGGGTTATACGCACTTTGATATAAACGAATCCTTGTCATAAATAGACTGAACAAGAATGCACAACAAGAAACACAACCCTTTCACTGATAAAATGCTGGACTCAAAACAACCCTTTTGTTTTGTTATCCAAGGTGTAGCAGCCTACTTAAAACCAATATATGCAGCTGATGCAAATTAAATCAAGTATGACATTGCTTTACTGTGATTTTCATAAACATGTGAACTCTGCTTCTTCAAGTTGCATGTTGAAATTTGGTTTTTTGCTGCCGCCAGTCAAAATTATGAAATGTACCGACTGATTAGGTTTGATTGACAGCAGCAAAAAAAACAAATTTCTGCGTGCAGCTCCCAGACACAGAGTTCGCATGTTTATGAAAATCTCAATGATCTCAATGGTTATCAACTGCCCTACTCTAACCCTTGTAGCTTCCTTTCTCATCCCATTTATCCAAATTATGCGTTAAAATGATTATGTATTAAATATGATATTATATATCAAGGGGAAATCATTCTTGATTAAAATGATATAATTATAAGCTAGCATTTCCCTTTTATTCCAACTTTATAAAATTCACATTTAATATTATGGTAATATGAGTAGAAATAATCTTCTAATGACTGACCCTCATTCATTGCCTGACCTATTACCACCCACCAAAGGCCATAAAATGATAATTAAACAGCAATTATTAATTAAAAAGCTGTTAAACAGTAAGTTGTTGATTGGAATTGGAAATGTAGAGAATAAAAAGGTAAATAATTGAAAAGATATCTTCTTACCTGAGTTACATGAGTTATACCAGGTAAAAAACAGAGAAAACAAGTTAGAGCAATGAATAGCTTTTTGTGTTTGTTCAAAGACTTGTATTCGTCACATAAACCAGTAATGACTGCTTCCATCATGCCAAACTGCAAATATACAAAGCAAGAAATTATTATATGCTTAAGTCACTCAACTATGCCTGCTTTAGTTGGATCAAAACTGGGAGTGTTACACTGCTAATGTTTCTTGCAAACTTTTTGAAATATTGGCTCATTTTGTTACAAGTCGAATATTTGTTGTCCTGCTGCTTGAGCAACAACTGGCTAGTCCATCCAATTTGTTTCTGACAGTGAATTTCTTTCAATAGCCATTTCAATTTCAGTGTCTGTATTTATTTACTTTCATTTACAGTAGTGTACATCATTCAATGACTGCGACATCAGTACCTCTATTGGCATTTTGCACATAGTTGTACATCAACTTAGTTCCAAATAAGTTAAGAGTATATAATATATATGTGTATAATATTGACATTCATGATATATGAGACTAGTTTGGGAAAAGTGAGGGGGGAGGGGGGGCGCTAAGAAAAATAGAAGAGACTAATATGGAAAAGAGGGAAAAAGTGGGGGGTTGGGGGGCTGTTGCCTGCCTCAGCCCTTCCGCACCCTCTGTATAGTAAGCCCTTAACAAATCAGTTCTGGATTGTCAGGGAGTACTATGACAGCTATATATATATAATTACTAAATAATATAAAATAATTGATTTTAAACAAACCTGGCTATCAAGTCCTAGTGTAAGGATCATAAAGAAAAATAGAACAGCCCACAAAGGAGATATTGGCATTTTGGCAATAGCTTGTGGGTATACAACAAAAACTAGACCAGGACCTGAAACAAATCATACATCGGCTAATTAGTTACAATGAAAGATTGAATACCAGCCACTTCTCTTTACTAGTTACAAAATAGACCAGGACCTTAAACATAAATCATCTGAAGCTAATTAGTTACGGTAAAAGATCGAATACAAGCCACTTCTATTTACTAGTTACAAAATAGACCAGAAATTTACGCATTTCTAATATATCTCTGATCAAGGAAAGTTCAACTTATTAGCCATTTCAAGGTCGAGGAAAAAAACATTTTCAAGATTGTGGCTGCATATTTTTCGTCCCTCCAATGCTATGCACCTTGACCTAGTTTTTCCTTGACCTTGGAATGGTTTATTACGTACCTGAGTCAGCAACATCTTCAATTGGCTTGTTGAGAGCATGTGACATGAATCCCAATGTTGAAAAAATGACAAATCCAGCAAAGACACTAGTTCCACAGTTGATCAAAGATATTGTTACAGCATCCCTAAAAAAATATATACACCAATATAGTCATTCATTTTCCACTGCCATTAGCATAAAACCACTTCTAAAATCCTATATTTACCTGAAAATGTTATTATGGAATTTATTGTAGCTTCCCATTGCTACCAATGATCCAAACCCGATTCCTAAAGAGTAGAAGATCTGCGTTGCTGCTGCCACCCATACCTTAAAACAAACAAGTTGGTGTTAGCACATCATTAGTTTACATAATTGTCCTGTTAGGTGGGGATCAATGCATGGTTAGTAGCGTAGACCCTGACTGGCTAATTCCAGTCAGCATTCCAGTCAACTGACCTCAACCCTAGGCCTCCCCATGGATCCACCCGATTATCCTAAGTTTATAATAATAAATTAACCTCTTTCAAGCAGACAGACATATAAATATACCTTTTTTCTCTCTGTTAAACACCCTGGGGGCTTATTCTTTTTCAGTGACTGGGGGCTTAGTAGAAGTAAATTTTCCTTATCTTTGGAACTTCATAACCATACTTATTCATAACCTTTTGAGATTATGAATAAAAATCCTGCCAAGGGAAAATGAACACAATGTTTTTAAGGGCTGGGGCCTTTCTAGAGGTTGGCAGCTTACTTTTTGTCCCCTCAGACTGGGGGCTTATTACGGTAGGGGGGGGGCTTATTATCTAGGGGTAGGGGGGCTTATTAGAGGCTTGGAGGGGGTTAATAGAGGAAATACAGTATGTATATAAAATGACAGCAGCAATTCTTACCTTTGGATCCCTTAATCTTGTCCACTCTGGTTTTAAATAATATTCAATTCCTTTGTTTGCTCCAGGGAGTGTAACACCACGTATAAACAAGATGAACAAGACAACATATGGAAAGGTCGCTGTGAAATACACAACCTGTGGAAGTACAAAAATATGTTAAAATTGGTAGATATTGAATAAATGATGCAAGGAAACTTTTACGAAAAGTGGAATATTGTAAAAAGTGATCAAGCAATTTAAACAGCCTTTACAAAATGCTACTAATGACTTGTGCTATGAAATAATATGAAGAAGAAAGAAAAGTAAGGAAGTCTCAATTTATTTTATAAGTGAATGGTTGAGAGGTGTTGATGGGTTTTCAGAGTCAATGGGTGTTATTGAAGCATTCCATCCATTTGGATAGTATTCAATTATTCACATTGTATAGAACGGTCTGAACCCAGGTGAATGAATGTTAATCRAAGTAWTATGATCATCCGGGTGGACTGACATTTCAACAACCTGAGCAGAAGTCATCTTCAGAGTCAAGTGAAGAATAAAAGTTTTATTAAATTAAAACATTTAAAACATGTAATAAATAATAGAGAGAGAGTTTTTCAAATTTTATTTATCTCTGCAAGCAGCACAAATTGACAAACGAGCTTGCCCTTGTGCTATATTCACCTGTAGGTGAATACAACAACATAAGACAAAACTTGTGATCAACGAGCGTGCCAGATCCATTATATTCACTAGTGTAAAAATACTAATCATTATAATTACCAATCAGTATCAATACTGACACAACTAAATGTAATGATAGATACAGTACTACCCCTAAGGCTTTTGTATTTTGGTACTCCATCTGAAATATGTATTTCATGTTGATACTCCATACCTTTCCAGATGATTTGACGCCTTTCCACATACAGAAATAAATTCCAATCCATGCCAACAAAAGACAAAGGAAAAGCTCCCATTTGAGTTCTCCAGGGTTGCCTATGCCATCTGTTATTTCCAGGATGTAGCGGCTTTAAATTGAAACAAAAAGAAGGATTAGGGATGATAGAGTTAACAAGTTATTTCATGCCTCATGGGTAGGTTGATATGGGTGATGTACGCTGCCAACACATCTTTCACCACTGTGGTTGCAAAGGTTTACATCACTGCTTCAGGCCCTACAGACACTATATGAGAATTGACCTTGCTTAATGTTTTGTTCTCTCTCCTGCAGAGAGAGCTTTCTCCGGGTTCCTCCATCTGTGAAAATCAACATGTAAGTTGAGCACTGTATGCATAGAATATTGAATGTACTGGTAGTGTGTGTGAGTGAAAAGAGTCCCCACAAGTGCTAGGATGTCACTAGACTTAAAAAAAGAAATTTTTTTATCTAATCCAATTAGGGAGGAGATTAGTAATTAGACCTTGCAAGCAGAAAAGTAACATGACAAAAATAAATATAATGGCCTGATGCTAATTAACTTACTTCCAAAACTCATTAGCAGGAGAAACAGAGTTCTTAGGGATTAAACTAGTGCAGTTCTCGGCAAGATTCTGGGTGGCATTCAATGCTGTAATGTTAATTGCATTTGTCACATTTGCTGTAGAAGAGCAGTTCTTTTCAACATCGGAGAGTCGTCCAGCATAGCAATTCTTTGTGTTCCACCAATTGTTACAGTGCTTCCAGAGCACTTCACTTCGGAATGAGAGGCCAAGGAAGTAGAGGCACCATGCAATAATCACATTATAATACACACATACCAGAAAAGACACTACAATACTTGCCATACCAACACCTTAGAACAAAAAATAACAATTCATTTATTAATCATGATAAAATAAAAAGCAAGAAATGTGGCCAAATGAAGAAAAAGCTTACTTCAACTTCAAGGATACAAGAGGCTTTTGTTTACAAACTATTCAACAATATGATAACCTCCAACACAGTAAAATATTTAGGTAATCTCCAGTATGATATAATTTATGCTGCTCCCTATTTGTGATCTATTGTGAATATAGGTTGTGCTATAGATTGTGATGTCAGCTGTGATTATATTAGGCCTGAGATAGACTGTATATATACAATGTACGCCCCAATCAAAAGGTCAGAGGGTGTTATATGTAATACATACAGTATGAGTGGCTRTGTTGTATACCTGATACAACATGGACACAAATTCCTTTGTGTTTCACTAAAATGTTCAAAATTAAAGTGAATCTGGTGAAGAAAATCCAACTTAAAGTTAACGCAAATGAACACAATTTTGTACCAGATTTACAACACTCTTCACGGTCATGATTTCTGTTGTTTTTTCCTCATGAATTATTAATGAGTTTGACAAGCCTGTTTTCCAAATCAATACAACTAGGACAATAACAAACCTGATACTAATAAAAAATTCATTTACTGAACTAATGATAGCTGATGACTGATGATTAATGTGAATCAAACAAACTTTATTATGGCTGACCTTTAAAGAGGGGGCAGATAGCTCCCCATGTTCCAATGGGTCCCAGACTGAAATACTGTCCAGCTGAAAGTTCCATATAAAACAAGGGCATGCCACAGATCACCAACATGATAAGATAAGGAATTAAAAATGCACCTGAAAATAACCAATAAGTTAAAAGGTTATTTTTCAAGGAAAAGAAAATGACAGACCAAGGTCTTCTGGGACGGGATTGCAAACTGGTACTCTTGTAAATCTGTCCAATGTGACACAGACTGAATGGCTTTTCTTTTTTAGCTCTTTAATATAATATATATATATACACTCGATTGCAGAAACGTTGTAGTATACATTTATGCACCTATCAGCGGCTTCCACGTGGGGTCGACCCCCGGGCTGACCAGGGAGATGGGTGGGAGAATATAGGAGGATTGGATCCAGTTATTCCCCCTGGGATTGGGAAAATTTGCGACATTGGTTTCGGTGCTAAAAACTGAGGTGGAATAAGTGCTTGCTCGATATTTTTTGGGGATTTACGCACCCCCCCTCCCCTCAACTATCTAATGGTCCGTCCCTAAAAACTTATATATATTAATACATTAATGACTAAGTTTTAATAATAAAGATAGGGCACTTGCACTTATCGTTGAGCCGTGAAATTAAAACGGAAAAGCAATTTCTAAACGCTATCTTTTTTCTTCTAGCTTATTCTGGACGGTTCGCTTCCATAAACAACACGGAGTTGACCGTCTCCAAGATGAATCGAATTTTAACCAACAAAGTTGGGACAGCCAAGAGAAAAAAACTTAAGGAAGTTTCGAAATTTTAAGTCTTTGAAGGACTAATATAAAGTATCTTTAGGAATTTGAGTGTATTTGTAAGATAAGTGATTTATATAGGTTTGTATTTTTGAGTATATATATTATTACATTTAGGACGTGTGTTTATAAGCGTGTATTAGTAGCTATATTAGTGTTTCACTCACAATGACTTACTTAGGATGTTTTGAAAAATGCCTTTATGCCAAAAAAATTAGGTAGCTACATATTGTCTGAGTACTGATTCTTTGTTGACAGCTAGAAAACGCTTTTTTTTTCTTTTTCTTGATTCGGTATGGAGTAAGGATCGATTGCATGGGCGTACTAATCTACAGAAGTATGCCATGCATGTAGTGATCTCTATGATGTAACGTGATATCATATTATACATCACTCATCTGCAGCAATCATGTTCTTGTGGAATGTTGATAACAAACATTATTTTGTTCTCTAAATAAAAGGGATATGATTGGTGGAGCCAGCATATTGTTTTTAAATGTTTAGCATCTGCTGAACGTCTGTAATTGACAGACCTAACTGCAGATCAATTTTGCAGACTTTATGCAGATATTCTGCAGATAATCTGMAGATAATCWRCAGACATTCCACAGATAATCTGTAGATAGTCTGTAGATTTTTAGCAGACTGTTTGCAGATCTGTAACAGACTTCTTGGCAGATCTGCAGCAGATCAAAAACAGATCTGCCCGTTTCGTACGGGGGGGATTGTATTGAAATTATTTTAATTGCAGAGGTTACCAGGGGGATTGATTTTCCTCTCTAGTTAAAGAAATAGCTCCTGATTTAAAAATTTTTAGACCACGGACGTTTTTGGTCGGGCTGAGTAACCTGTGCTATTTGCCAATACCCAGATGCATCTCTGCTCGTCAAGATGGCTGACGAGGTGAGAGAGTTCCACTGTGAAGTATGTTTTTTGACATTCTTTGTTGTTTCATAGATACGAATTCGAAGGCACCTTGATTTTTTTAACTTTTAAATGTGAATTCTTCAATTCATGAGAGTTTTTTTTCAATCTTTTCAATGAAAAACTACCTGAAATATCGAGCAAACTGCATGGTTACGTGTTGAGTTCAGTTTTCAAAATGCAATAACAATAATTTCAACCAAAATGAGGGAGATTGTAGATTTGAATGCCTCGACCAGGGGACATTGAAAAGAACAACTTCCCTACCCCTGGGAAAAATGATCAACATTGTGTATGAATTTTTACAATCTCCCTGGTCAGCCCGGGGGTCGACCCCACGGGGAAGCCGCTGATAGGTGCATTATATATATATCTAACTTATTCCGGATATTTAATGATATGCAAAGCAGAAAAATCGCTTTATTTATTGTTTGTTTCATTCAATGACTGTCAAAATATTTTTTTCTTGTCTGTTAGATCGTAAGCATTATAAATCAGTTGGTTTTAAGCGTTGGAAATGGTTATTTTGCATTATGCATCTCATTAGATATTGATATAAATGTATACTACAACGTTTCTGCAATCGAGTATATATATAAATAATATGTGTGTGCTAGTCTATAGAATGAATCAAACCTACGTAACTAAACCTTTTTAAAGGTTTAGAAAACGAAAAAAAAAAAGATTTATTTGGAATGATAACTATCAATCTAATACCATTTTACAACGTACATCTACGCAAAAACAGATCATCAAAATATTTTGTTATTTGACCTTAGTTTACGCATTAAATGAAGCGATCAAATTTCTTTTCATAAGGTGAAAAAATAAAACCCTATTTTTTGGTATAAACAACTGATATATTTAGAAAAAAGCATTGTCTCAAAAGTAGATGGTAAATGTAAATAGTAATAATTGTTTTGTTTTATTCACATTACTGTATTCATTTTTCCCTCAGAAAGCCTGTTAAAGCACATGGCTTTTGCCTTTTTTTCTTCGCATGAACTCACTAAAACAAAACCTTTTCAATTCATGACTACAAAGAGAGAGAAAGGAAAAAAAAAAAAGCAGCTGGGATTTGAATGTTTTTATATTATTTTTTGATTTGTTTTGAGAGTATGACCCGCTGATACGCTCAATAGAAAATAAAATTGTCGTTAAAATGGCGAATAATAAGTCCTACTTTCTCCTGTCCGGGTCATTGTTTGAACCCTCAAGGCACATGCTAGTACTACCAGTGTTTTGATTGAGTTTAGAGAGTTTTTTGACCAATGATATTTCGAATAAACCGCATTTCTACCAACATTGAGATGAAGACCAGAGACCACGCTACGTTAGGCTATGGTCTGGCGGGTAAAGTAAATGAGGTCCAAATGTTTTCAAAGTTCGAGACAAAAACTAAAGAATAATTTTACCCGTAATGAACTTACCTCCTCCATTGGCATAGCAAAGGTAGGGAAAACGCCAGATATTTCCTAAACCCACAGCATAACCAACACAAGAAAGAAAAAAGTCGGCCTTTTTCCCCCACGTTTCTCTCTGGTCGTCCACGTTTACCGCCGGAGAGAGCCTCCCGTCTTGTTCACTACCTTGACCGAATTCCTCATTATCCACCTTCTTCTCTTCCGAGGGAAGCAATCCATTGCTTTGTCCATCGTCTATCGGTAGTTTTTCACAACTCATGGTTGTTAAAAAGCTAGTGTTTTTGAAGCAGAAATGAGTGTTTTTTTTATTGTAGTGCCCGATACTAGTACACGTCTCATTCACAAACCCTTTGTCCTGTCCTCGTGGAGACAAATTTAGTTTTGATTGACGCGGGAACTGCCGCTCGCTTTTATACTCTGACAGCTGACCAGCCTCGTTATCAAGCCATAAATTTAACCAAATTTTTATACTTTTTTTCAATGTTTCAATATTCCAGTAGACGATGCCCGTTCATTTTAGACGATTTTTAATATTCAATTTTACGCGTTCTATATATATTTTTGTTATTGTTATTCCCTTCATGTTTAGTTGTCGGATGGCACGATCTCGTTGGCTCGTTTTCAGGCGATAAAGCCAAGTGCTAGATGGCAGAACATTACAAGATCGTTGAGTTTTTTTTTTGTAATTCTATTTACAAAATTATTGTTGCATCCGAATCAACATCCATTGAGGGTATGCTAATTTTAGGATTTTCCAAATTACACTAAAAAAAAAAAAAGCAAGAGAAAATGAACTAGTTTATATTTTCTTGGAAAGAGTGATTGCACAAAAAATGAGAAATTTGAAACTTATGTCAGTGGTTGCATGACTTAGCGTAAAGTGTTCCGAGTTCACCAGACACGTACACGTAAAATCAGACCTTTACGTTAGATTTCCCGCCCATCTATCTTTGCCCTTTCAAAGTTTTTCTTACTTTTAAAGGCAAAGAGGAGCAGAACGTATGCTACACAATTTACTTGCTTTCCTTTCCTCCCCCACCCAGCTCCCTTCCCCAACCAAGTATATGGAGTTTAATTACGTGATTCTTAATTCGAATTTCAAAAAACAAAGCTGCATGAATTTTTTCAAAGGCTGCAAACTAATAAGCGACTACTAGGAATTTCACGTATGTATGGGCGCTTTTGAAAAATGTGCACATTAACATTACTGATAAAATGAAACCAGAGAACCGAACTTTGTACAAGTGTACAAAAACTTTCACAAAACAGAAATCAGTGATTGTCTACAACATTCGCCTTGTGCGAACCAAAAAGAGGACGATTATTTTACTAAGTTGATAAGCTGTGAAAAATCCTTTAATACTATACATTTATATCACAAAACATTGTCGTGTATCTTCAAGCTAAAACCGGCATGGAAATTGAAATCCATGCCCCGGACGGTTACTAAAACGGGCGTAAAGTTTTGAATGATGTTTTCAAGCCAGGAAATATGTTATCTTTAGTCTAAGCCGTTCATCTGTTCAAAGTCTGAAGTGCGTAGATCAGAGAGTTCGAGTATGCGTTAAGACGCGTCATATCCATTGATTGATTCGTGAGCCGATTTAGAAATTCAAACCTTGCCTCCCCCTCAGGCTATTTCCTATTTATTCTGCAGAACGTAATTGGGATTCCTGTGTTGAAATATTCAAACCACGTTTGCGTTGATATCTAAGAATCTCGCACAAGTCTCGCCTTCTAAACTGAGAGATCTTTTAAATGATTCAAAGATTTGAACTGGTAAAGAAGACTATCAGGACTCTTCAGAAGTGGGCGGACAATCTGTTTACAGCTGTTTTRCCAAAGCGCAAATCCATCCGTTAGATTTTCTAGACATCAAGACTCGGTTAAAATATATTATGCTCAGATCTTGCTTGTTTTTTTAACCACCTTTTTATCGAGTCGTTCGTTTGAGAAAACAAAATCGTTCTATAAGACTTATAACTCAAAGACAACTTGAACATAATTAACTAATGTGAAGAAACTATAGTAAAAAATCGCTATGGACGTGTGTGGAGTAAGGAAAATAGATAAAAATAGTTTCTGCGTTGATTTTGAAAGACCGAACATAAAGGACAATTCTTGGGTCGTACCACCATCGATCATTCATATGGTATAGAGGTTATAACTGGCCAAGAGGTCCGAATAATCCGGTCCTGTTAATTCCATTATTATTATCTATTTATTTGATAGGCGGACGGATAGGTTTTAGCTTTTTAACTCTACTCTCTCTTTATTCTTCTATCTCATAGTTCAACTTCCAAGTCCCTTCTCACCGGAAAATCGATTTTTCGTTAGAAAACTCGGAAGGCTGTGCATTGGTACGAGAATGCTGATAATTGAATATAATAATAATAAATAAATTATATAACCAGAATATAACTGACAGTGCGCGCAAAAGGGGGCCAAAGCCAATTGAATCTAGGATTAAATAATTCATAAATGATGAGTATTATTACTTGGATATTCAATTACCGAGATTTGCCTTGATATGAGAAACAAGATGAACCCGTACGAGACACCACGCGTTAATAAAACCTAAATATACCAAGTTATTGAGTCGAGAATGAATAAAATGGGTTAGTGAGGGACTATAAGTTCAACGAAGAAGAAAAAATTAGTGAAACAGGACACCAATTCAGAGCAGTAGTTTAATGAGAATACTAAACAATGGGATTATTTTCCACAAATACCAAGAAAATATATWAAAAATTCTCATATTAAAAATGTTGCTTCCTAAAAACAAATTTTGTATTCTCACAGAATAGTTCTGTTCGGATTCTTTTGGGACGTGACGTTTGTATGCACTCGTAAGCAAAGAAACGTTTATACACGGATATTCAAGCATTATAGACCATAAGTCACATTTTAAATTATGGTTTTTAAGTGAAAAGTTTTGCAAGGTTTTCGATACTTTCTATGAGAAAACCTTATTTGCGTTATTACTTTTAAAGTTTTTACCATTAATATGGAAACATCAATTTTTTTATCGATACTGCGAGTTGATCAAAGTCAGGGCACGTCACAGAACTAGAGTGGGTTTTGTGGAGAAAAAATATTTTGAAGCACGAGCAGTTTGATCAGTTTAAGCCGGTTTTTAAAATAATTAAAACAAGGGGAGAGATGATGGGGAAAATTACTAAAAAGTCGCCTAAGTTCCCGAATTGCATTGTAAATTAAGGACCT